TTTATCAGGTGAGGTGACAAGTATCGAGTCCTAGCTATGTTTATCAGGTCAGGTGACAAGTATCGAGTCCTTGATGTTTACTTCAGATCACAATGATTCATAAGAATAATATTAAAGAATATACAGCGCTGAAATAGTTTTGTAGTTTTTGTTTTTTTTAGTTCAAGCAAGAGCAATGGTTAAATTCATAAAAAGTCACTGGTTTTATTGATAATTTTTTGCCAACCTTGATCGGATGATACGAGTTATAACTACTACTTCGTAAAATGTATTAGGTATCAAACCCCCAAGGGAAGTGCCAGTTCTTTTATAAATGTATTTCTGCTTGAATGAAAACATATAGATATTAGGGTGAGCTTTAACACTTAATGATGAGTAATTTTTTTTTTTTTACAGTCTTACGTTCACAAGGATTTGGGTTCTGATACTGAGTCCGAGTCGATGTTTCCAGTTCAAGAGGTTAGTAATAATACTTATTAGTCCACTCTGTGTTACCTGGTTTCATATACCAGTTAATTACAAAAACTTTCAATTATAAATGTTTCACGTTCTGTTTGTTTTTTGTTCTATGTACCCGAAACTCAAATTAGGAAATGCATAACTTGTGTTGATACCAAAGATTTCTATTTTCTTCTTTCTATTGAACATTCCAAGAATAAAAATTCTTTATAAAAAAACTCCATATATTAAGAATAATCAATTAATATGAAAAAAAAATCCTCTTTCATTAGTCATTAGGCTTAGAATAAATGAAAAGTCTGTAAAAATACTTTGCAAGTTAATACTATGATACTTCAGTAAACTTCAAAGGCACAGTGAAACTATTATTAAGTCACTAGATGTTTCCTCCACGAATTTTATTCTTTAGGAAAACTTGGATTATATAGTTTACGTTCGTCATATCTACACACACAAACAACCTCGGCGTTCATGTAGTTCAATAATTAACTTACGTGAAATTTATAAAATATAATCAACACAAGCATCAGAAACTTCCACGAAATGAAACGGACAAGTCCATAGAAGTAGAGAAGACTGTGGAAGAAGGAAACCTTCATAAGTCCATAGAAGTAGAGAAGAATGTGGAAGAAGAAAACCTTCATAAGTCCATAGAAGTAGAGAAGACTGTGGAAGAAGAAAACTTTCAATTGGTGGCTGGTAACATTTCTAAGCAAGATATACGTACCGAGTCAGAAGTTGTCAGTGCTAGTGATTGTGCTTTAGCAACAGGGAGGTATCTAGAAGAGAAAAGTGGTTTTAAAGGAATTGATGATGATACTTTAACAATAGCAACCACTCAGCCGTTTCAACCTGATGATGAAGATGAAAGTAATAAGATTGCCATGATGACGACAGAAACCCAGCCATATCGAGGGGATGGCGTTGACGAAGATGATGATGAAACTGGGTTGATGATGGCAGCCACTCAGCCGTATCGAGGAGAGAGTATTGCCGATGATGATGATGAAACTGGGTTGATGATGGCGGCTACTCAGCCCTATCAAGGAGATAGCATTCCTGAACATGATGATGAAATTGAGCTGATGATGGCAGCCACTCAACCTTATGAAGATGACAGCGGTAATGAACACAAAGAGACAACTACTCAGAAGGCTGTTGTAAGTCAGCCAGCTAAAACTGAAACTTTTAATAAAACAGAGGTGATGACGGAACCCACTCAGGTATACCAGGATGATGATGATGATGATGATGAAACAGACATAGAAAATTCTGGTGCAAATGATGAAATCTTGGAAATGGAAACTCAAGCTTTTGATGACGATATTAATTATAAAGAAACAAAAGTTAATGAAGTTTTGACAACTAAAGAACCTTATGCTGATCAGGTTAAAGCTGTTCTCGTTCCAACAGCGGGAAGAGATGCTTGTAACACCAGAAATACGAATTTTAATGCTGGCTTAGATTTTCTTGAGGAGAGTGATGATGATGATGAAATACTAGATACACCACCACAAGCCTGCACATCTCCTGCAGAGGAGAAGGATGGCTCAGATATAAACTTTAAGATAAATGCTAATTTTAAGGATCAGAAACAATCTCTTATTGGAGGTGTGGAAACGGACATTGGCCCCACACTGCTGAACTGTACTTCATTAATAGAAGATTCAGTATCAAAACAAGATGAAACATTTACTGAAAGTATTCTGTGTCCTGCTACTCAGAAAAAACCTGGAGTAGACACTGAAGATGATGAAGATGGCTTTGAGGAAAGAATACAGACGCTACCTTATGTTGAAGAACTAATGGATAAAGAAGACGTAACCACTCTTGTTGCAGAAACTCCTCCACGGATTACAGAATCGAAAGATGAACCCATTTTTGTTGTTTCGCCAAGCTCATCTAATGACAGCTTTATTCAAACTGATGGTCATCTATCTGCATTGGAGAAAACAGATAAAGGACTTGTGGAAACTAAGCCATTAAAGTCAAAATCCTCGACAAATATTTTGTCAAGAGAAGAAAACAAAGAGGAGTTGAATAATGTAAAACTGGACTCAGTAAAGGAGTCTGTGTTAGGCCATAATCAATCTTGCACTAAGGTCTCTAGAAAGGAGGACATTCTAACTGAAAACTCTCGTTCTGAGAGTGAAATACAGAAGTTGGGAACTCACACCGTATCTGTAAGAACTGAAACAAGAACTTCCAAGGAGACACTGGAAGACGAAGTAGTAGATTTCGTTAAAATTCAGATGAAAAACATACTGGAAAAAAGTATGAGAGAAGATGAAACTATGGAGGATAAAGAAGAGAAGACCAACGGAGATGACCAGAACTTAAATGGTCAAGAAGAAAGAATTATGGGGGAACATAAAGTAATGACGGAAGAAAGTGTTAATGTTTATAGCTTGAAATTTGGCCAGTCTGACGTGACTGCAAGTTTACCAGTGCAATGGAATAAAGAAGAAAACAAACTAAACCAGGAAATGGACTTCAAAAATACATTTTCTAACACCAACAATGAAAATAATATCACCTCACTTGAATCGGGAAAAAGACGAGGTAGGAAAAGTAAAACTAACGTTGTTCAGAAGAGGAACTGGAAAACAGTCGTACTACTAACACAAACACTGAAACTCTCAACACATCACGTGAATCAGGAAAACGAGGAAGTAGGAAAAGTAAAACTAACGTTGTTCAGGAAGAGGAACTGGAAAACAGTCGTACTACTAACACAAACACTGAAACTCTCAACACATCACGTGAATCAGGAAAACGAGGAAGTAGGAAAAGTAAAACTAACGTTGTTCAGGAAGAGGAACTGGAAAACAGTCATACTACTAACACAAACACTGAAACTCTCAACACATCACGTGAATCAGGAAAACGACGAAGTAGGAAAACTAAAACTAACGTTGTTCATGAAGAAAGCAACCAGCGAGGAAAACAGGAAAAAGAAGAACAGGATGAACAATCTTCATGTGTAACCACCTATGACTTTGATTTACAAGTTACAGAAACAAAAAGGAGTAGGAGAAGCAAAGCCTTTGTAACAAAAGTGGATCAGAAAATGATTGTATCTGAAAGTGACCAGGATACATCCTGTACTGAGACAGCAAAACATGCCCAAAGTTTAGTAACAAAAAAAGGAAGAGGAACAAAAACACAAGAAAATAGAATCAACATTTCTTCAGAACCTTTTCTTTCAAACAAAAGAAGAAAAGTTACAGAAAATATAAAAGTTGAGAGCAGTGATAAGGACGGAGACAAAGTTGTTAACTCTGATGAAACGATAATTGAGGAGGGTATAAAACACTCAAGTAAAATAAAAACAAAGGTTTCTGGTCTTTCGGCTGCTGCTGAGATCACTAGTTCAGCCCCCATGGATGTGGTATCTATCTCAAATCTTTCCAGTGTAGCAACAAGGTCTAGATTAAGAAAAGGGAAAGCCAAAATCGCTAGTGGTGGTCGAAGTGGAGAAGAAGGAAATGAGGCTCACGAGAAAATGAAAAACCTTTCGCCGAATGCAGAAAATAACAAATCACGAAAAGTAACAAGAGACAGAACTGAAATTGAAGGTAATAAAATTAGCAGTAGTTTTGAAAGTGTAAATACAGATTTAAGACAAGATCACGATGAATCTGGACATAAAAATGATGGTGATGCACCAGTTCTACAATTGGAAATACAGTCTAGAACGAGGGGCACAAGGAAGTCGGCTTTAAGAAGCAGACGGTCGGATGTTAAAGAATTTAATGAAATCAGTGTCGTAGCAACTGGAAAAAGACATCTCAAAAATCAAACTGACAGTTTGGTAGATGTGGATGAATATACTGAACCACATGCAATGCACAAAAGGTCAAGAAAAAATGTTCTGACATCTTCCACTACGAGCAGTGAAACATTTTTGGAAAAAACGGAAAGTAAAGGCACGAATCGAGCCGTTATAGATCTGGAAACTTCATCCAAGCACACTAGATACTCAGATAACTTAAAATGTGAAAAACAGAGAGATAACCTGATTGCTGATGAAGACTACCGACCTCAAAATGAAGAAAAATCTGTTTGTAATGATTTCCTTGAGCCTGTTGAACATAGTGATACTAAGGGAAGATCTAAGAGAAAGAGAACTCAGCAAGCATTAGCTGACTCATCCCCTTGCGATACTTCAATACTCAATAACTCTTCAGAAGTAAAGAACAGAAGGAAAGATTCCAAAGTAAAAAATGAACTTGAAACAAGTTCTGAAGTGTCTGAGTTGTGTGTGATGGCAAAGAGAAGTGGAAGAGAAAAAAGTGTCGACGATAGTGAAACTTCTTCAATTTCTATTCAGAAACGAGAAAAGAAACAGAAAAGATCTAAGCTAAATGTAAACGATAGAAATACTATCGAAGAAAAAAAACATCCAAACGTGACTTCTTCGACTCCAGCTAAGAACACCAGCTCAACAGATGACAAAATTACAGAACTTAATGTTAAACCTAGTCGAGATATATCTGCCAGACTGTCCCCTAGAAACAAAAGAAAGCAAAGTTTGACTACTTCAGCTATTGATGTTACCGAATCAGATAAATTCTTAGCAAGCAATTCTGAATCCCTCGGACCATCTCCTCGAAGAAATAGATTAGTTAAGTTATTAAAACCAAAGGTGATGTTTACAGGACTGGATGATGATGTTGGAAAAAAGGTAGTCCTTTGATGTTTTCCATGTTTTTGCATCATAATTAAAATTTCTAAATATTAGAAATTAAAATTTCACATTGCGAGTTATTTATAACAGAACTGTTATAAAAATACAAATGTTTGTTCTTTATATTTTGTAATTGTTTATAAGAAGTTATCAAAGTTTGTCAAAATAGATCTAAAGATGAAAGGTAGAAATGATATTCTGTTGTATATGTAACTTCACAAAGTCCGTCTGATATTCTGTTATATATGCAACTTCACAAAGTCCGTCTGATATTCTGTTATATATGCAACTTCACAAAGTCCGTCTGATATTCTGTTGTATATGCAACTTCACAAAGTCTGTCGTCTTACGTGAAAAATATTTCTCACCTTTTCATGTTAAATTAGATTTCTATTTCAATTGTTAAATATATGTATTGTTATTTTTATGTGTTAGATACTTATAATTAATTAATATTCGTGGGAAATTGGTTTAAAGTTTCTGTCTGTTGGACGTAATACTTGACGACGTAATACTTTGATATTTTAACATAACTGTTGCCGTCGTAATAAACAGTTCTTATTGTATGAAGTGGTTTAGTTGTCTAATATGATTCTCTGTAACAGTTCTTATTGTATGAAGTGGTTTAGTTGTCTAATATGATTCTCTGTAACAGTTCTTATTGTATGAAGTGGTTTAGTTGTCTAATATGATTCTCTGTATTTTATTCTAGATCGTTTCTTCCCTAGACTGGGATCTCATGGACTCTGTCATGGAGTGTAGCCATCTGGTGACAGATAAGGTAAAACAATGCGGACTGATGTTGTGATAGAGAGTAGAATAAATGGAAAGCTTTTTTGTTCTCTTGTTGTAACAGGAAGTTCATTTTTGATACGGTGCTCTTCCTGTTATCTAAGAACATTCATTCCTGAGCAGGTAATAAAAGTGGAGATAAAAGTGTTCTTTCTACCAAGTTGCCCATTCAAAACACAGTCTAAGTTTAATCTATGACCTGTGATCTAATGATATTTCTTACGTGTCTACAACACGAGGAAAAATTGTATCAGCTAAGTGCAACCATGACGGACATTGGTTTTTCCAAGTTACATTAGTGTAAGATCAGAAACATGGTTTTATCAATAACAAATTGAATATTGTCAATTTATACAGATTAACTTGTAAATATATACCATGAATAATAGTGTTTACCTCTGACTAAAACTGCAAGAACTTTGATAGATTAATTTTAGTAACTATACAGAGTTGTTTGTATTTACAGTTCCTCATCTTTATTGAATGTTTGCTTTGTTTTTTTTTGTAGCAAGTCTGTTATCATCTTCTTATTATGTTGGATTTTATTTTTAGTGTGTTGTTACTAGTATTCAAAATACATTGAATTCCAGAGAGCTGGTATAATTATAACATGCTCGCCCTTTCAATTGTGTGTGTGTGTGTGTTATAATGTGATGATCAATCCCACTGTTCGTTGATAAAAGAGTAGCCCAAGAGTTGGCGGTGGGTGGTGTTGACTAGCTAGCTTCCCTCTAGGAACGGCTAGAGCAGATAGCTCTCGTGTAGCTTTGCGCAAAATTCAAAACAAACCAGACCAATTACCTCTGCTCAGGTTCAGAAAGGTTTTAGCTCCTAAGCATGAAGTACATTCCATTACAGCATTTAATAAATAAATAAATAAATGTATATATAATAGCAGTGGCGAACCAAAACTCTTTTTAAGTTTTAAGAATATTTTTCCATCGCAAATTCTAATTGATTTGCCGTTTCCATGAATTCGTAAAGTTAAAGCTGGTTTCCCAAGAGACTTTAATAACATTTAAACAAGCCTGAAATACTTATTGATATGGTCCTTCCCATGTAGTTGTTGTTGTTTTGAGCTTTATTGCTGGTAACAATTTCTACTTTAGTATGTATTGTCACTGTTCTTCGTATGTTATCAGTCTACTTCATGATGACGAGGAACCCACTTGAAGTAAATATATATATATATATAGTAGAGACGGCTGATATAAATATTTAAAACTTTTATTTAAAAATTCAAAGCAATGTTTCAACCTCCTTAGGTCATCATCAGTCTTAACCTGGAGCTTGAAATGTTGTTACTTATTTTGTGTTTTTCTTTTACAGTGTTTCGATTGGTAGGTTTTTGTCTTTAAAATAAATATTCAAAAATTCTTGTAGTTCCATCGCACGGTTAAAACTCTTTGCTGTGTTGCCAAGGGAACACCAATTGTAAGCACAGGATGGCTAAAGAAGTGTAATGTATCGGGATCATACATAGGTAAGTGATTAAATCCTGGTTTATTACTGTAACTCTGGTGTATTATTTGTGGGGAATTCTGTTCAAGTTCACAGATGTTTTCCAGTAGAAACTTAGTCAATAAAACAGATTGATAGATGTTGAATAGTTCTGAAAGAGAAGCTTTTGGAAATCTGTTCAATATGCTGAATTGTAGAGATTGTGGTTTTTCAGTGGCTAATGTTAATATCTACATGTATTAAGATTGTAGTTTCCAGTGTATAATGTTAATATCTACATGTATTAAGTTTGTGGTTTTTCAGTGGCTAATGTTAATATCTACATGTATTAAGTTTGTAGTTTCCAGTGTATAATGTTAATATCTACGTGTATTAAGTTTGTAGTTTCCAGTGTATAATGTTAATATCTACATGTATTAAGATTGTAGTTTCCAGTGTATAATGTTAATATCTACGTGTATTAAGATTGTATATAACAGTGTATAATGTTAATATCTACATGTATTAAGATTGTATATAACAGTGTATAATGTTAATATCTACATGTATTAAGATTGTATATAACAGTGTATAATGTTAATATCTACATGTATTAATATTGTATATAACAGTGAATGGTTTGTTTTCAGATTACATTCCTTACATCATAAAAGACAAAAAGGCAGAAAAACATCACAATTTCAACTTAGCTGAAACGTTGAAAAAAGCAGCTGAACAGCCACTCTTGTCAGGTTGGAGTGTACACGTGACACCGAAAGTTGTACCTGATCCTGATCAAATGAAAGGTGAGTATGAATACTTGAACTGTACGTAATCTTGAGTCGTGAAGATTGACGTGTACACGTGACACCGAAAGTTGTACCTGGTCCTGATCAAATGAAAGGTGAGTATGAATACTTGAACTGTACGTAATCTTGAGTCGTGAAGATTGACGTGTACACGTGACACCGAACGTTGTACCTGGTCCTGATCAAATGAAAGGTGAGGATTAATACTTGAACTGTACGTAATCTTGAGTCGTGAAGATTGACGTGTACACGTGACACCGAACGATGTACCTGGTCCTGATCAAATGAAAGGTGAGGATGAATACTTGAACTGTACGTAATCTTGAGTCGTGAAGATTGACGTGTACACGTGACACGGAACGTTGTACCTGGTCCTGATCAAATGAAAGGTGAGGATGAATACTTGAACTGTACGTAATCTTGAGTCATGAAGATTGACGTGTATGTAATCCTGATTAAATAAACAGCTAGTTACTGTCTAACTTATGGTTTAAACACCAGAAGCCAGTAAAATTAAGAGGAAGAAAACCCATCAGTAACTAATTTGTTTCAATAATGGCATCTAGCTGCTTTTTTGTTTTGAAGACTTTTTTTTAATATTCAGTCCAATCGAAGTAAAATATTAGTTTGTTGCTTGTTCATGTTTAATAAATGTTCTAGATTATAATATCTAGAGCTTAGTAAACACACTCATAAATAGTTTGTGCTTATATGTGTGTTTTATATATATATTTTTTTGTTTTTCAGAGATTATTCTTTGTGCTGGAGGAAAAGTAAGTAATGATTTATTATTTAGATTTTAACCTAAATCCCTTCCAGTTTTGGGTCTTCACCTATATGTAGGTTAAATTTAGTGGTAGCCCACATTCTTGTCAGTGGTCATTATGCCAGGACCATGTTGACTCTCCCTAAAAAAATGTCGTGCCAGCACCATGTTGACTCTCCCTAAAGAAATGTCGTGCCAGCATCATGTTGACTCTCCCTAAAGAAATGTCGTGCCAGCATTATGTTGACTCTCCCTAACAAAATATCGTGCTAGGACCATGTTGACTTTCCCTAACGAAATATCGTGCCAGGACCATGTTGACTCTCCCTAACGAAATATCGTGCCAGTACCAAGTTGACTCTCCCTAACGAAATATCGTGCCAGTACCATGTTGACTCTCCCTAACGAAATATCGTGCCAGTACCATGTTGACTCTCTCTAACGAAATATCGTGCCAGTACTATGTTGACTCTACCCTAAGAATATCTGCCAGGACCATGTTGACTCTCCCTAACAAAATATCGGTAGCCGAGGCCATGT